TCACGACATAGCGCAACCGCTAGCCAAAGTCTTCGGCGAGTATTTGTCCTCACACCCAACCTGCTGCACCCTACTGGTCACGACTTCTCACTAGAACCCCAGGTAACTATCTACCTGAATAGGGCAAGTTGCTAGTGAGCATCTCTTTTTCGTGAATTTTTGATCCTCTTATGTGGTGTATAGAGTGTGGCAACTTGAACTAATGCACTTCTGTGCAAAGTCAAGTGTGTTGAAAATCAGTTTCAGTCACAATCTTTGTGAAATAACCCAAACGACTAATTAAAAGACGTGTCGGTGGCACAGTTGTAGAATGCTCGCCGCCAACCACGCAGGTGGTTCGACGTTCGATCTTCAGCCGACGCCACACTCCTTTACCTCGCTAAGCCACTAATGAAACTGGGAAAGAAGGAAGGTTGGGCATGAGGTGAGCATCTCCATCTCGTAAAAATAAACACCACTGCTACGGAAACTTCAAGCCTCTAGCTCGAAGCCCTATGTTCCAGTGGGAACGTAGAGGAATAAAAAGAAACTCATTAACCATGGGACAGATGTATTTTCTACTTGAGACTCACAAGTAACTGCAATACTCTAAAGTTTGGTTTGTAAGGATTAGTTATGTTTTACGGGTTGATCACGGACTGATATCAGTTAGAGAACCATTGAAAACCAGGGAGTACTGGACAGCTGCTGTTTCATCCTAGTTTGGGAATCATCGGCAGTACGCACCCACTGGGATTCGAACCCAGGACCTTCCGGTTACAAGGCAAGCTCGTATACCATTCAGGCTCGTAAAACATAACTGCAATACTGTTTATCTAATTTCATTCAAGTTTGTTAGTTGTAACATCACTATGTTTCTGTTCTTGTATTTTATGTCTGATTCTTTAAAGTATAGAGAATTCTGTGGAAGGTTTCAGATTGACTCATCAATTAGCCACTGAGTGTTGTATTTTTGAGCACACTAAAAGGAGTGATAATGAATTGGCCTGTAAAATCAACCAAGCTGAGTATTATAATTGGGGTGGATTAATTACACTACTTAATGTCGAATTATTCAACGAAGTATGCGCGTATAGTGACGCCATTTGTTGAGTCCTACTTTATAACTGTGAGATGTGATCTTTAGAGTTTGATGTTAGTCAGAGATTCATAGTCCATGCAACACCTGGAAGATGGTAGTCTCCAGAGGTCAATTTACCGAAAGCCTATATGGAATGGACATTAACTACATTTCAATGGTTTTTGTCCAAATAGCTATAAACGAGTACTAGTCAACAGTCTTTACTATAGAGCGAGGAGAATATGCGCTGCAGAGAGGTTAGAGGAAGAATTTATGATCCTCGAAAAGATGTTGAAAAACAATGGTAATCGTCAGAGATTCATTAACACATATGGAAGATGTATTGGCTCAAACATCAGACAAATCATAGATGAAAAATAGCCTGTCTTCATTCAACTAGATTTTAAAGGTGAAAACATTGCAGCAAAGGTCAACAGAAGACTGAGTACGTCACTAGCCAGACCCTATCCCCCAGCTAAGTTGGTTCCCATCTGTCGAACAACATGGTCTTTGGTGCAGTCAATAGTCGAGAGATATCCTCATGTTAACCCCAACTGTGTATACAAATTTACACGTGTCTGCAGCAGCACTTACATTATTCGATATATATCCTGAGGCTTTCACTGTCACTCTGACATGTTCTGCTGATTGATTAGTGTGAGTAGTCTTGTACCTCTGAGACGAACCAGCAGTGTTTGATGGACAGTCTGACCAAAGTGGCGGTTTCGCCTGTTTGCTGCCAAGCTCCTCAGCAGTGTACTCAGACGGACTCATCTCAGAGGGCGGAATCGGTTTAAGCGACTGCCACTGTCATCAAGATCATCATGAAATCACATGTATGTTTTATTTCTCCAACCCCTTACTACTTGACTGCCCATCTCTGTAGTTGTCTGAAATGAGTTGAATGAATAACCTAGGATTTGTCACAAAAGTAAAGTAGTTGATGTTGCCATACTTCGAAAATGAACATAAATGTAGTGAAACTAAAGTAGACGAAGACACATGAGAGAGAGAGAGTAATCGGATGGAGCTTAGTGAGAATTTTCAGAACTTCGATGATCACAAGGATTGAATAGATTTGAGTCACTGGGAACAGTTTTCAGCCATACCATCAACATTGTCCAACAATTAGCTGTTAGTATCTCAAAGACCCTCGGTAGATAGTTCACATCTTTCTTTAGTTCCTTAAATGAACAGCTGTTGACTATATGGATTTGTGCTAGGCTATCATTTGATCGTTTTTAGTGCTTTTCAAAACTAACTCCAATTTAAACAAAGCCATTTGTTAAGGAAGGCATTAATTCATCTGGATTAATATATGTTCTAGCTACAAAAATTCACCCATTGATTTGCCTTTCTCAACTAACACTTTCTAGTTGGTAATATTATTGATGACTGTATTGATTTGTTTACATACAGTCCAAAGCCCTTATACTTCCGTATTTTTCGCCTTCGATAGTCGTATCGAACACCTGTGATGTAGGAAGTGGCTGGTTTACGTACATCATACGCATCCTTTATGGGCAGCCGGATGCTATACTTACTCCAGAGACGATACAAGTTGACGAATGCCAAAAGAACCTTTGTGTGTCGGCGCTGAGATTTTGTTAGTAGTCAGTGTGTTATGTCTGGTGAGACTTTTTAAATACATGAAGTGGTCGATACACTTATTTGTTTCACCACCCATCATCAAACTAGAAGTTGGTGCAAACAGGTCCTGCAATATGATCTTATCTTGGCAAGGGGCAAGTTGTATACCAAGTATACTCAGAATTTTCCTTATGGTGTTCGAAAAGATTGCGTATTTCGACAGCCTATTCACCTCGAAGGACTGCGTCACCTTCATACCTTATGGTAAGAAGAATTTCTTAGCATACCAAGTAGCTGCTTGAGACAGTGAAGTCGGCTATGGTAACCTTTGTCAGGACATCTTTGACGAAATTAAGTAGAAGTGCAGACAAAGGGCACCCCTGTCTGACATCACTGGAACCCTTATAAAATATAGCCTTCACTGTCAGACAGTTCTACAGCATCTGTCGATTGAAGGAGTCGAACACAACCATCATAACAAGAAATATAGTAAACGTTATACTTCAGTAATTATGCTCATGTTCCAGAACCTGTAGAAGAGTGGGGATATGACTAATTCATCCTCATTCAAGCCTAAACAATTTACCTAGTTTTCTTGGTTTTTCTCCCAGAAGTTTATAAGTCTTCACAGGACTATGGAACATAGAGTCTTAGATATAAGGTTAGTCGAACTGACCTTACTGTGGTGAACACAAGAAAAGTTGTATGCTTCCATCGACGCGTATCCTATCTAAAAGTGTCCAAAAGAACACTATTTCATATGATTGCATAAAGGCAGTAGTGGCTGTATAATGAGGGAGATAATTGAAGAGTAGTCATTCTCTCTCTCTCAACAAACGCTTCCTTCAAAGTAATCTTCACAGCAAAGAATAACCTGCCAAAGCATAATGTGCTTTCGCCTCCTTTACAGCACTGCGGTTTCAGCCATTCAAATAGAGAAGTCGAAGTTCTGAACACAAAAGTGGATTATTCAACCAATTCTAAAAGTCATGGTTATGACCATGGTATTTCCTAACTCCTCTGTTCCTATCTAACTATTACGTAGGATGACACTGTACCTAATTTCTACGTGTATCCTGTTTACGAATCATTGATTAATTTACTCATCTTATTACGTAACTTTGATACTCTAATTCAACTTCTGCGACATATTGATTATTATTATTATTAGCTACTATACTTATTTCATTTCATCTTTTTTGTTTCTGCCCCATTTTTGTGAAAAACTATATATAAATGCGGTTGTAAAGCTGAAATGAGACTCTTCGATGAACAAGTTGTGCTTATATTCCTTAATTCTTTCTTATAGACTGTGATGACCAACTGTCTCCTTCAGTCTGTTGAAATCATTTCGGAATCCAAATATACCAGTTAATCCTTTTGTTGGTCTAGTCATGGTTCACTGTCATCATTATTATTAAATACCTCTGCTTTGTGTCGTTTTAGAGATAGAGAGACAGCCTTTGGATCCTTAGTTGCAGTTCAAGGAATTATGTCTACATGTGAATTCAAACAGTGCTCGGATAGTGATCAGTTGCAGTGAACTGTCTATCTGAGAATTATTGAGACGTGGTAATCTATATTCAAATGATTCCAAATACTGTATTCATTTGAGAGATTTCTTCACGAACCAACGCCTGTTTCGTCCCATTTCAGGACTCTTCGTCCGTTTGCGCCCTACCACAGATGAAGCCCTGGACCTGTAGACTACGAGACCAGGATTGTTGACCAAGTAGCTGAGTAGCCAGATAACTTGGTATCGTAACCTGAAGGTACAGGATTTCATCTTTAGTGGGGTCGTAGATGAGAACCGATGAAGAGTTTCAAAGTATGAAGAAACAGGTGCTGAGGGCTCTCTGATTTTCATTGACCTCCCTTATGGATGACAGCTCATGACGAAATCCAACAAATCTCAATTTTAATTTCCACATATTAGCTTAGTGTCATTTATCTTCCAAAGTTACTCCACTAACTTAATCGAAGGAAAAAAAGGTGAGAAGTCGTGATCAGTGAGGTCCATCCAGATGTCACGTGTGAGGATGGATGTCCCACCCACGACATTGGTTGAGGTCGCGCTAAATCACAAATTGGAAGAAGTTAGAATTCATTGGCAGGTCAGTAAATCGTGTCCCAGTGGCTAAATGATATACGAGTCAGCTTGCCTTGTACCCGGAAGGTCCTGGGTTGGAACCCTGGTGGTGGGTGCGTACTGCCGATGATTCCCAAACTAGGGGGATGAAACAGCTGTCCAGTACTCCAGTACTGGTTTTCAATGGTTCTCTGACTGATATTAATCCATGATCAACTCGTAAAAAGAAAAAAAAAGCGAAATGAAAATGTTTAAACTTACATTCATCATCGTTATATTTATCCAAATAATCTTCATCATAATAAAAGCCTTTAATTCTGTCTTTCACATCATTTCTCCATCGATCATCATTAATAGTATCACTTTCATTATCATTCACATCACCATCGTGTTCATTGTTCAATGGTTCAGCATATTGAACACATTGATCATGTTTATTAGGATTGAATTTCACTTTTTTAGGTAATATTTTAACTATCTTTTGTTCAACATCAATTTGATTACAAAATACACTAAATCCATTGCCCATTTTATTTAAAAGATATATATATTTTTCTACAATTTGTGGTGTATTTTATTTCACCATTATTCGTTTCAATGTTTCAATAAGTGCTTAGATAAACATCATGATTTACTAAATTTATTTATGTATTGTCTATCCTTTTAACATGATTTGACCAGTCAATTCAAGTCAGTCATTTAATCATCCAGTCACATGATGCATGTGATCGATATTTATTGATTTCTTTTTTAGTAATACGGATAGATGGATGAATGAATGTGTAATATGAAGGTGTAGAAGATGTCTTTAGGAATGTTGTATAACAAACATATTCCCTTCCTCTTAATTTGCATGCATTTTGATTATGCTGATTGTTTTAATTTATGTATATTTATTCAGATTAATGTGGGGATATAGAAAGGAGGATTTGGAATCATTGTAATTTAGTGAAAGGTTGAATTAGTTACATATATGTCCAAACCAAGTTCACTTTTAACAGTATGGAAAAATTTGGGCATTGGGTATATAATATATTCACTATAATAAAGGTTTTGTTCTGTATTTCCCAATGAAATTCTGTCTCGGAAAGTAATTATTTTACATTTAAAGGGAATTTATATAGACAGACAAAAAATGGTGTTGCTATAGGTTCACCAGTTTCCCCAATAGTCTCTGACCTTTTCATGAACAGATTCGAAGATAACATCTTTTCAAGGATGCTCACTCCTAAAGTATGGTTAAGATATGTAGATGATACTTTTGTAGTGCTAAAACGAGATCTACACAGTGTTCATTTTCGGAGAAATTAAACAATCTATCTTCCAGAATCCAGTTTACTTCAGAAGCAGGCAGAATCAGACGTCGGTGAACTACCATTTCTAGACTGCCTGTCTAGTTAAGAGGAGGGAAAACGGACATTTTAGTATATCTATATTCAGGAAGAAAACCCACTCCAATAAATATTTAGACTTCGGATCATCAAACCCCATTAGCGCAAAGATTTCAGTTGTTTCAAGTCTTCTTGGAATAGCACACTCTCTGATAACGGATGAGAAAGAAAAAGGAGAAGAAATATCAAACATTACTGAGACTCTCAAGAAAAATAACTACCCAAAGAACTTCATCAACAAAATCAACACTGACATTAAGTATGGTCGAAAATGTATTCCGAAAACATGGACCTCAACAGTTGTCATTCCATATAGAGCAGAGACGTCAGACGATATCAGAAGAGTACTCAATAAGCTCGACATCAGAGTTTTCTTCAAAACATCAGACACACTTCAAAGCAACCTTGTCCACATAAAAGACCAAATCCCTAAAGATTCTCTTTCTAAAATGCCTGCTTGGAATGTGATGCGATATACATCGGACAAACATCGCCTGAGAGAAATCAAAATCAGAAGAAATGAACACGTTAGAGCATCTGTTCGACCACCACGAAATGCATTTAGTGAACTAGAAAAGCTTGAAAAATCATCAGCCAGTCATAGGTCTGCACGCTACAGAATCAGGCCACAAAATTGATTTTGACAATATTGAAATCATCATCCAAAGAACGTCTAATATCATCAGAAGCACTTCATATCAAGTGGAACCCAAATTGTCTGAATAGCAATGATGGAATAAAACAGAATTTGACCCAGTTACAACATCCCTCTCCCCTTCCCTATGAAACGACATAATCAACACGAATGTGATAAGCAATTTTATTATGTAAACACACGTTGTTTTCACAATTTTACACATTTATCAAATCCAACAATCTACACCTGGTTTTGTTATCTTTACCAATTGGCCAATTTGATAACGCAAAAGTGACCCCATGCTGAGGAACGATGATTAAGTTGTTATATATGAGCTGAGATTTTGTAAATTCTGGTTTAAAATGCCTACTTTGATAAAGCTATTAGCAGCAACATTAAATAGCGAGACGTCAGTAAAAACAGCAATATCGTTTTGTTTTTCATTCATTCATTGGGAATTACAAGTAAACCTTTATTATAATGAAAAGTTTAATAAAATCATAAATTCAGTCTGTTACAAATTTTATCACAATGTATTAGCTATGGAATATAATTTATATTGGACACATTGAAAAGTAATGGTGTGCTTTGTTTGAGTTCATTGATTTTTCTACTCAAGTAATATTTAAATAAATGGAAGAAATGGCGTTATAAACTTGACGAAGTTGTCATGGTATTCGTTTGTCACTCAGATGACTTTCTGTATATGATATATTATTGGGAAGAAAAGATAATTTATGGAAACACAAACATTTCACATACTACTAGTCGACTGATATGAGTAGTGTACGGCTTCATACTTGTTTTCTGGATAATTTGTTTATGGTGTATCAAGCAGATCATGTATGTAGTGGTCTGAATTCTTTCTGTTCCCAAAGGAAACTATGATTAGAAATTTCACCTCGAACTGTGTAAACTGTAAGATCACGAATTAATTTACAAATTGGTAATTTAACACATTAAAGCCTTGATTATTCAGATGGGTTATATTTGATTGACTGGAGGATTTCATTATGAGCTGACATCAGTTAGAGAACCATTGGAAAATCTGCCAGGAAGTACTGGACAACCAGCTGTTTCGTCCATCTAGTTTGGGACCCTTCAGCAGTACACAGCCACCAACAGGGTTTCTGTCTGTCTGTTTTTGACATAGAACGTTCCACCGGTGGGCAGCAGTTCAAGTCGCCACACTCTATGTAGCACACAAAGCAAGAAAAGAAAGTAAAAAGAAATGCGAAATAGAGACAATAAACAGAGATATGACGCAAAGAGAATAGTAATACAGTAGAACAATATAGTTTCATTGGGTATTGTATGTCACAAGGAGTGGATGCATCTGCGCCATTGAGAATGATTTCGAGCCAGTAGTATCATCAATTGTCGCCAGACATTGGATTTTACCATCCCGAGTACCCTAACCAGCCAGTCATGAAGTCTGCACCTTCCTATGTGGCTTTAACTAACTGTTGTGGATTTCATTGACTGGTACCATGTTTCGGTTTGACCGCCGTTAACTCTTTTCCAGCCTGACCCTATTTCAGCTAACATTGTCCACTGTCGAGGAAGGCGATGGCTAGGCATACGTAACACATGTCCTAACCGTCTCAGTCGATGTAGCTTCACAGCCTTGTCGATTGATTTCCCCTGCCACCTACCAAGCACTCGACGTCTAACCTCAATATTGCTCACCAAATTATACCACTTCACACGGGAGATAGAACGCAGACACTTATGATCAAAGACAGCCAATCTTTTCATGTCTTCCACTTTCAATGGCCAGTTCTCACAGCCATAAAGGACGACCGAGCGGACTGATGAGCAGTACACACACCCTTTGCTCGATAGCCGGATATCACGTCTACGCGAGAGACGGCGTAAACTGGCATATGCGAAACTAGCCCTCCGTATCCGTACTGAGATTTCGCCAGAGATCAACCCGTTGGGGTTGATGGTACTTCCCAAATAAGTGAAGCGGTCAACCAGCTCTACCACTTCACTTCCTATTTCTAAACTAGGAGACAGTGCAGTCCAGTCCTGTAACATCATCTTACATTTGGCGGGAGCACATTGCATGTCAAACATTCGTAGGTTGCAGCTTGAGGTGTTCAGAAGGCTCTGCATTTTTTCAGCGTCCTAGCCTAGAAGGACTATATCATCTGCATATTCTAAGCCAGCGAGATTATTCCCAGGTAGCAAGTCAATCCCTGAGTCTCTGAAGTGAGTTAGGGCCACCAGGGTTTGACCCGAGGATCTTCTGGTTACAAGGCTAGCGAGCTGGTAGATCATTAAGCCACTGGGACCTGATCCAATGGCCAGCCCAAGAATTCATACTTCTGCCAATTCATGTCATAGCATGACCACTTCGCAATGTCTTCTTTGATGGGTTACTGCCTTACCTTCAACCTGCTGTACCCTACTAATCATGGCTTCGCACCAGAACCCCACTGCGTGAATAGGGCCAGTAGCTAGTGGGCATCAGATTGATTATTCGGAGGATTCCATCATGAGCTGACATCAGTTAGAGGACCATTGGAAAACCAGTGCTGGAGTACTGTCAGCTGTTTCGTCCGCCTATTTTGGGAACCTTCAGCGGTACATATTCACCGGGGTTCGAACCCCATGATCTTCTGGTTATAAGGCGAACTAGCTCGTAGTCACAGGAAAAGTAGAATTTTTTCAGGCGAATTCATTTCTCATTAGATAACGAACTGACCGTCTACTATTTGCGAGACGAGCCTGTTAAGAATTCAGGTGCTGAGATAGAATCCAATCAGATAAGCAGGTCAATGAGTGATAAAACTCCGCTTCAGCGCTTTTTTTAAATTCCTTTGTGTTCCCAGTGGAACATAGGGCTTCAAGCTAGATCTTTGAAGTTTCTCTGGCAGCAGTGGTTTTATTGCTAGCCTCACGTCCAACTTTCCGTCTTTACCAGACTTACTGCTGGTTTAGAGAGGTTTAGGAGTGCGTTTGTGGCCGAGGATTGAATCTCGGACAACGTGAGTGGTTGGCAAGCGGTCTGCCGCTGAACCGCCGGTGCACCAATAAACTTTAAACTCCACCTGTTTACAATATTCAATACCAGTTAGTATCTGTCTTCACACTCAACCTGGTGAACCCCACCTACCACAACTTCCCATTAGCAGTCTAAAAGGTTTTTCTGGTATTCAGCCATTAATGAGCAGTAAATTCATTTTTAAGTGTTGGCTTGTAGTTAGCGCTTTATATCGTGGAATTGTGGAGGTTAGAATTCATAGGTCATGTATTTCGTCTCAGTAGGTGAGTAATTATTGGGATCATCCCGAAGCCTAACGTTCCTAGGTTAGATCCCTGGTTTACTGATTATTGTGCTCTACTGAAGAGACCCACACGGCAGCAAAACAGCTGTCTAGTACTCTCCAACTTTAAGGCGTTCTCTGACTGATATCCTTTAGAGATCTAAATTGAAATCAAATACATCTTTGCAGACTAATATTTCTGAATCTATTTAGATTGATAGTGAGACTGTTTAAGATAGTTTTGGGTTCTCAGAAAACTATCAACGCACTAAATGACTTTCGTACATGATTT